TATGGGTCGCGACCCCATTTGGGGTCGATCGACCATTTCACGGGGGTCGCCAAGCAAGGCTGTCCGCCATTTTTTTCCCCTTTTCCGGCGGGTGCCTTACCTCCCTTGAGCTGGGCCAGCTGGTGGTCGGCCTGCTCCGTCTCTGCCGCTTGCCAGCTACGCCTCGGCCGGCGCAGGGGGCAGAACCACGCATGCGTGGCGCTCCCGGGCAGGGAAAGTCCTCGGCTTACGACCGGTTGGGTAGTCCTCGACTTACGACCGGTTGGGTAGTCCTCGACTTACGACCGGTTTAGTCCTCGACTTACGACCGGTTGGGGTCGCGGCATTAAAAAGGTTGAGAACCACTAAGCTACAACGATATTTCCTGGAACAAGATCGCAATCCCATTACTCATTTAAAGTATATGTCCTCGTAAAGAAAGGGGGGGGGAGCATCATAAACTAAAAAATTAATTCTACACGTAGGATCATGTTATACAGTTATAATTGTTGAGAGCCAGGTTAAGTCACCAGGCTAGAAACCCAGAGGATCTTGAGTTCCAGTCCCACCTAAGCCATGCTAGGTAATTTTGGGCCAAATACACCAGGAAAGGGTGATCTCTAGTCCCACCTTAGACATGAAAGCCAGCTAGGTGACTTTGGGCCAGTCGCTATGAGTTCATGGTGACCTAACCCTAACCTTAAGTGGAATTTTCCTCCAATGGGATTTTCCCATGTATTTTACCAGGAAACATAGATAGGGCAGCCTAGAAAAGTCAGTGCCCTCCTAACCATACCCAAGCACTCCGAGTTTGTTGGCGATGTCCATTTTGCTCTATGAGTTCATGGTGACCTAACCCTAACCCTAGGTGGAATTTTCCTCCAATGGGATTTTCCCATGTATTTTCCCAGGAAACATAGATAGGGCAGCCTAGAAAAGTCAGTGCCCTCCTAACCATACCCAAGCACTCCGAGTTTGTTGGCGATGTCCATTTTGCTCTATGAGTTCATGGTGACCTAACCCTAACCCTAAGTGGAATTTTCCTCCAATGGGATTTTCCCATGTATTTCACCAGGAAACATAGATAGGGCAGGCTAGAAAAGTCAGTGCCCTCCCAACCATACCCAAGCAGTCCGGACCTCCAGTTTGGCATACGACGAGACAGGCGGAAGAAGCCAGGTCTCCAGCTTCCCAGCCCAATTTCTTTCTGGAGGGGCAACAAAGAAGGAGGGATGTTTCAGGAATCCGGACCAGACAGCAATCGGTCCAGCGGTGCACAGCGGCAGCGGAACCGTTCACCGTCACTCCCCCCTGACTCCGAAATGGTGGAGGGGGACTGGGCTTACCTGCCGATCAAGGAATGGCCTGGTGAGGGGGGGTTGAGTTCCGGCACCTTTTTTCTTACAAAAAAAGCAACAACAACAACAACAACAACAACAATAATAATAATGTTGGAAGGGACCTTGGAGGTCTTCTAGTCCAACCCCCTGCTCAGGCAGGAAACCCTATACCATTTCAGACAAATGGCTGTCCAGTCTCTTTTTAAAAACTTCCAGTGTTGGAGCATTCACCGCTTCTGGAGGCAGGTCATTCCACTGATCAATTGTTCTAACTGTCAGGAAGTTTCTCCTTAGTTCTAGATCTCGCACCTGTGATTGTGTACAGTAGATGACATCTTTTGTGGCTTAATCCAGATGGAAATCAAGTGCTAATAATTCCCTTGTTGCTAATTGTTGGCACTGCTGTTAAGCAGGGATCAGGTGTGGCTCGGTGTGAACAAACAGATGGAGTCCAGATTCTCTCTCTCTCTGCAAATGGCACAATTTGTGTCTTCCCTTAAGATTTGAAGAACCTTGAGTACAGTTTGGAGCAAGTATATATAGATTTCTTGCTTTTATTTGGTTATGTAAGAGGAAGCCAGCACACAGCAGACATTGTATAGAAGTGTGATGACTCCTTTAGATGATTCCCCAGATACCCCTCTAGATGTCAGCTCAGGGGAGGATGAACCAGCTCTTGGCATGTCAGGAGCTGAGTTAATTGATGGCTCCAAGCAGCCATCTGGAAGGGGTTTGGCTGAGGGTCCAGCTGGAGAATGCATGCAGTTGCAGACAGTCAGTGAGGAGGAGGAGGAGGAGGAGGAAGAACTGCCTTCTGCACCTGATCTGAGAACACGTAGAGCAGAGAAAAGGCAGGAGCAGAGAATGTCAGCCAGACTATTTGAGAGGAGAAGGCCTCGTTCTTCTTGATGGGTTACACTGGAAGCTGGCTCTTTAGCACAGCAACCAAAGAGAGGCGTTGCTGGGAACAACATGTTTGTTTCCTAGCTATGTGTTTTCTGGTCGTTGTGATTCCTGCCTCGCTTTGGATTGACACTGTGCCTTGACTCGAATTGTGTGTTGGAAACTCTGGACTTTTCTTGACTTGTGAGCTTCCTTGTNCCCCTTTTGAAAAAAAAAAAAAAAAAAAAAAGCAACCGATTATTACAGAAGTGTTAAGAAAGCTCCAAATAATTTCTACCCTTTGTTAATGACTGGTGGGATTATCTTGGTTCCCCAGGAGAGGGAAGAATATTTCCTAGCATCAGAAAAAGGGAGCCTAAATTGACCACTAAACCAATTGCAGGAAGGGTCTTTATGTCTCTCATTTCCTAAGTCAAACTGTGGTTATCATCCCATTCCAGACTGGATTAGATTATGTCTGATCAGTTCAGAATCATAACCTTTGCTGAGAAAGAAAGATTTAAACAGCGTCTCTCTCTCTCTCTCTCTCTCTCTCCCGACTATTTTTCAGGCTGCTTTGAATCAGACACACAATCATAAATTGTAGGGCTGAATCTATATTCTTGCATGTTTGCCTCTCTGCTGATCCACAGCCTGATAAATGAAAAGTATAGATTTTTTTTATATATATGGGAGAGAAAAGATGAGGCTTAGAATTAACTGGTAACAGGATTAAGGCAGGTTTTTCTGTGTATTAATCCTGGGTAGCTGATGAGCTGGCTGACCTTGTCTGTATATTAAAACTAATCAGGGTCTGGCCTGGTTAATTCTTGGATAGATGATTCCAGGGGGAAAATCCTGGGGCTGAAGGCTGCACTAGGAAGTTGTGTGGGGGAAAAAAAGCAACAATAGCTAAACATCTGGTGGAAGGCAAACTGAATTACTTCCGTTTCATAACTAGGAAAAAGCACATCGCGTGTCTACCAAGTCACCAAGAGTTAAGGGCGACTTGAGGCATCTTCGCTTTAAATTAAAATGGAGAGGAGAGCCAGAGATAAAGAGAAATTCCAGCATAAATTTGAAGTAGCTTGATACCTTCTAGACATGAACAGGAGAACGAATTACCATTTGAGGGGGAGAAACACTGAGCAAAAATAGAATAGAATAGAATAGAATAGAATAGAATAGAATAGAATAGAATAGAATAGAATAGAATAGAATAGAATAGAATAGAATATAGAATATAGAATATAGAATGCAATGGAATGGAATAGAATAGAATAGAATAGAATAGAATAGAATAGAATAGAATAGAATAGAATAGAATATAGAATATAGAATAGAAGAATAGAATAGAATAGAATATAGAACAGAATATAGAATATAGATTAGAATATAGAATGTAGAATATAGAATGGAATGGAATGGAATGGAATGGAATAGAATAGAATAGAATAGAATAGAATAGAATAGAATAGAATAGAATATAGAATATAGAATAGAATAATAGAATAGAATATAGAACAGAATATAGAATATAGAACAGAACAGAACAGAACAGAATATAGAATATAGAATAGAATAATAGAATAATAGAATAGAATATAGAACAGAATATAGAATATAGATTAGAATATAGAATATAGAACAGAACAGAACAGAACAGAATAGAATGTAGAATGTAGAATATAGAATGGAATAGAATAGAATAGAATAGAATAGAATAGAATAGAATAGAATAGAATAGAATAGAATAGAATATAGAATATAGAATATAGAATATAGAATATAGAATATAGAATATAGAATAGAATAGAATATAGAATAGAATAGGAATATAGAACAGAACAGAACAGATCAGAACAGAACAGAATAGAACAATACAGTTGGAAGAGATCTTGGAGGTCTTCTAGTCCAACCCCCTACCCAGTCTCTTCCTAAAAGCCTCCAATGATGGGGCACTCACAACTTCCAAAAGAAAAGCCGTTCCACTGATTCATTATTCTCCATTACAGTATAAAATCTCCAGCGAAAACCTAGGGCAACCCTGCTTTCCGAGAAACCCCTCCCCATTTTTAAGGAAGACAAATTGTAGAGGCACACCTCACCTCTTTACCTGCGTGCGATGTTTCCTTTCTTTAGAAAGTATTTTGGAGAAAAAATCGGGATGTATTTCGCCTGGCTGGGCTTATATACAGAATTCCTCATTCCCTCCTCCGTCGTCGGGGTTATCGTGTTTCTCTACGGATGCCTGACCATTGAAGAAGATCTTCCAAGGTGAGGTGCTAAATAGACTTTGTCCCCCAAATACGGCAAGGTTTGGCTCTTGGTTTGGTGTTTTGGGCGTTGGCTAAAATGCACCAAGTTTGCCCAACATTTTTCAGCCCAAGAAGGAAGATCTATTAAGAGCGTGAACGTTATTTTCTCTTCTGGCCCCCGATAAACCCAGTTATTTCCTCTCTTCCTTGACTTTATGAAGGATACAGGAGTCCTTGACTTATAAACACGTATTTGGCAATTCATCAGAAGTTATCAAAATAAGGGCAACTGGTCCTTGCACATGAGCATCCCCCCCAAATCGTGTGATCTTGGCAATGGGCGTCTATTTACAACAGTTGCAGCATCCTTGGGTTATGTTGTGGCTCCATCCTGTGGGTCCCTCTCATCAGAGGAGGAAGGCTCTGAACATGAAGGAGAGGAGATGGCCAGGCCTCCCTCTCCAGGACCTTCCCCTCTGGTGCGGCCTTCGGTGCCTTCCGACGGAGAGGAAATTGGCCAGGAGCCCGGTGCTTCTGGGATTGGCCAGGAGCCCGGTGCTTCTGGGATTGGCCAGGAGCCAGGTGCTT